ATGTTGAACTGGACCTCAGGTACCCTGTATAATTTTTCTACAAAAAAAGGTAAAAATTTGAAACTACATTAAAAATATAAAACACATATTTTTTATAGCGTCATATTGTTAAAGAAAAATTCAGCCTGGCCATCTAAAAAGGACACCCTTTCATATGTGTGTACATATGTATATATAACCATCGCTAACCATCCCTGTATGTATGTCACGGTCTATTCTCGATTCAACAAGACGGGCCCAACTCTGAATCCTTTTTTATGAGAAACAGAGCCCCAGAGGTCTTGATCGAAATTGAAATGTCACGTTCAGATTTAAATGAACCGCCATGCCCCTCCACACACTCAAACAGTGAAAGGAGTAGGGGCCAAGAAAGGGCTATTTTTTCAAGTCCTTGAACATATCCCTTTCTGGCTTGTGTGGGTAAAAAGCTATTTTTGGTAAAAAGAAAATTTTGGTGTGCACACTATTCAATTAATTAATGAGTTAATTTTTATTACTTTGACGTCAAAATAAAAAAAAATTGTAATTTAGTTTTAAAAGGGTATATATTTTTATAAAGAAAAATAAAAGAAATAATATTTCATTTTAAAAGTTGTGTTAATATTTTAATTGTATTTTCTAATTTGGTGTTCAAATTTTTAATAATAATAATAATTTCTTTACCTTTCTTTATGGAACTATAAAACGAGAATCAAATTCCATTTTAAAATTAAGGCTTGTAGATTTGAGATAGGTTTGTTATAGGATAAAAGGATTCTTTAAATTAAAAATTGTCATTTTATGTGAAAATAAATTGTAATTAAAGATTCAAATTTAACAAACATTTGGTGTCGTAGTTACTTTGGTTTAAATGAAATATAAAAGGTGCCTGATCGATAAATGAAATAATTGTAGTCAGGTCCGATCGTAAAAAACATCTGGGAACTTGTTTTCGGTTTTCCGAATTCAGGGTTGAGCATAAAAAAAAAAGAAGAGACACGATATATCACACATATATACACATAATATTATAATATATAAGGATATAATATTTCCTCTACAATTGGATTATTATTTCATTTATTGAGAAATGGAAATCATCGGATCCCCGAGGATATACATTTAAGCATGACTGTTAGGTCATGCAGGTTTAACATAACAAAGCGCCTTATTGCCATTCCGCATTTCTCTCCACCTTAACTATTTCTACCACTTATGTTTTGTTATTTTGCTGTTTATTCAGTTGTTTCTTTTTTTTACAAGGCCTGCGCCATTACCATTATTGATTTATCCTCATTCAGCGCCTTGCAACCCAATTTAGATTTACATTTTTACATGGAATGGATAGGCACGACGACACATTGATGACGTGTACAAATTGTACGGACGCGAACAGCATTACCCCAGAGACTTTTAGGTGGAGAAGTACATTCATTAAAGCAAGCAAGTCGTATGTAAATACCATGGTATATACCATCTTTGGGAAATTTGTCTACTCCCATAGATCCGTTTGCCCATTCGTTTTCCCGTTGTTAGGTGTTGATGTCATAGCTCCTACACAGCACCTAGCTGCCCAGTATTAGAACCGGTGAAGCCGGGACAAGTAACATTTAACAAATTAGTGCCTGGTAAATTAACTATCAGTTAGCAGGTATGGGAAGACTTTTTGTAAATAACGGTCCTACTGACAAAATTTGTTGTTTACAATGTTCTGATTTCAAGCATTAAACGCTCATCTTCAGGTTGAAGGAGTTACAAACAAGTCTCTAGACATAAATTGTAAGATTGAATCCTCCAAGAGATGTTGAAGCACTTGTTTTGTTTTGAACCTGGTTAATTCATCCAGTGTGTTGTCATCTGGTCATGCCTTTCTCATTTCACTTCCGGTCCAAAAGACGTACGAGCTGCGCCTGCTTTTGCTAGTTTTAGTTCTTTTTTTACCTTCAATCTCTTGCAGTACTGGTACCCTAATCAGGGTTACCTCATTAAGTTTTTCCAGGTGCTGGAGATAGGTTAGGCCTTGAATTGAAGGTGGAATCCTTCACTTGACTGTCTAACAAAATGTATATGAAAAAACCATCCTTTACAAAAAGTTAACAATCAAAGGTTGCGTCGGTAGCCGCAACGATTTAGCGTACTTTATGCTGGAGCTGCAATAAATGATAAGAGTAGCGATCAGAGCCACAGCGCAAACTTCATTTCTATGATATGGCTTAAGGGTGACGTATTATTTAGATCGAACCAATTAATTGAAAATATTTCTTTAAAAAGGAATGATTCTGAAGAAGAAATATTTTCAACTTGAAATGCTTTAAATATTATATTGTTGAAACTACAAATGAAAAGCGGAAATTTTCCCATGAATACCCCAAAGTAATGTTTGAAGTTCATCAGTCTTTATACACAATCAAGGCAACACCCCGCAAAATTTATGGATTATATGAGAATGAGATGTTACAGCTTCCTTACTGTGGCTGCACGTACGATGGCGGTAGCTCGGTGGAGAAGGGTGGACGTGTTGAAGGGTGAGACAAGTGATGGTCGGTGGGGGGGGGGGTGCCAGTTGATTTACAGATGTTATGTTGAGCGCCACGGTATTTTTAGAGAAGGATAAATACCGAAACCAGGAAAAAAGAGGAAAAGAAAAGTAGAACAAGGGGAAAAAAGAAAGAGGAAAGGAAGCACAGATACGGTTCCCGTGTTGAACCCCAGACGACCGATGGAGCGCTTCTTGTTTCTCTTCTTCCTGATGAAGTGGCGCTTCCACCCAGAGTTAAAATATGGGAACTAAATAATGAAGTTCTTCCTTCTTCTACCGGAGTTAATTCGTCAACCGAAGAAATCTTTCGAGTTAAACTACGATTTTAAAAAAATGGATACGAATAACAACTATTCTATTTATCACTAAATTTACATATTCCTTTTAAATTAACAATAGACGGAAACTTACACCTAATGTCTTTAGTCCCAAATTATCAGGCCTGATAACGAAATTGTAAAGAATCAAACTCACGGGATCACTCTTCCACTTAGGCTGTGCCGTGTCCGCCGGGATCAGCACCTTCTCTTCGGAGGACCCTCCGCACCCGCAGAAGAACAACACTGGGATCACACCCGGCACAGGCCGAACACTCTTTTTTTTAATATTTTCTTATCCTCGAGGAGACCACCTCTTACTCTGATCGTCTATCTCGAACTGACTGCCGCTTGCGTTTTTTTCAATCTCGAACCCAGTGCCCTCCGGGTCAGGATCTTGCAGGCCGCGAAATGCTTCCTGCTTCTCGTCTCGGTTTGTCCCGCCAGTAAACTTACCCCAAGTAATATTGGAAGACCAAACCAAGCTGCTGAAAATATTCGCAATTTATTTAAAACCATTATTTGTCGCACTCCTTTTTAAATACTATTACTATTGGGTTGTCCGGAAAATAATGCAGGATTTTGGTATTAAACAAAAAAAAAGAAACTAGTTACTTTAAAGCAATGTTCTTTAATCAAANCATTCATACAAATGAGTAATCCTGTAAACGTAAACAGAATATTTTATATAGATTTTTTTTAATGAAAACTTAAAATCCTGCATTATTTTCCGGACAACCCGATATTATTATACAAATTTATATTTAAATTACCTATTAGTTACCTTTTAGTACCTAATTTATACCTACTTAAGAAATTACTAATTTTTAATATTAATCAAAATTTCTGCTTTCCTGTTGCATTCAATTTTGCAGCTACTTCGTCCCATAATTTGTCGAGAACAAATCCAGCGGCCCTGCGTTCGAACCCCACGTACTTATAAATTTTTTTCAAAAGCATAGGCACTACGAGGGTTCACCTCGCAGTTGAAATACCCCCGTAAAAAAATTAAAAATATAATAAAAATAAATAAAAGTTTAGAAGATTATCAATAATGAAAAGGGGACTGAAGAATTTTTTTAAATAAAACAAATTATGTTTATATAATCTGAGGTTGTTTTATTGGCAATTTAAGAAAGAAAAAACAATAATAATAAAAAAATTAAAAATGGGTCCGTAAATCAAAATGTGCTGATTTGTAAATTGAAGCATCTTTTTGGTTTTTCTTCTACTGCTACTAATCTTATTTTCTACTATCTGTCCGACAGAACTCAGAGAGTTAAAGCTTCGAATTCCTCTTCTCTCTCAACTGCAGCTCTTGTACCCCAAGGCTCTATTCTTGGACCTTTACTGTTTTCCATGTTTCTAAATGATCTTCCTGAGTTCTTAATCCCTTTCAATTTCATCTTTATGCTGACGACACTCAGCTTTACATTCAATATCCTATAACCAACATCTCTGAAGCTCTCTCTGTTGAACCGTGATCTTCATTCCTTTAACCAATGGTCAAGTAATAACCGCATTTTCAGGCTTTAAAAACGACAAAAATCATCTCCATTTCTTCCTTCTTTTTTTTCTTTTTCCCGTTTCCTTTTTGTTCTCTTTGTGATTTTCTTTCTTAATGTGGCTTCATCATTAGATTATAAATAATTAATATTAAAAAATATATTATTGTCATTATTATTTTGTTTAAAGTAATACCAATGCGAATTTTCTCCATTCTTGTTTTTAATTTTGTATATATTACCTTGATGATGTTACTTCTTACCTACTTGAAGGTAGTTGTAATGTGCTACAAATTAATAAATATATTGTTTTGTATATTTTATTATATGTTTTATAATTATTATTATTGCTGTTATTATTATTTTCTTATGTTTATAGAACTTAATTTATTTTTAATATAAGTACAGCCTATTTGTGCCTTTAAAATAAATTAAATTAAAAATTAAAAACTTTACTCAGCTACTCAGTTTCGTTAAACCGTTTAATATATTTTTTTACTTGACTTTTTTAAATGAATAATTATAATTACAAGAATATAATTATCTATGTTTATAATTTAAATGTTTTAAAGGTTTATATGAGAGAATAAAAAGGAATTCATCTAGATTTTCGATAACGTTGGCATGACTGGAAATCGATACTACGTAGGGCGAGCTGGGAGCGTTTCGAACTCTCGATCCCCGGTCATTCGATAAATAGCATTTTGAAACTGTGGACCTACAAAGGATTGACATTTGTTTTTAATTTCCTTTTGCCAACAGTTTGCCGTAGTTTACCCCGGGGAGCAGACCAACTTTTTAAAAGACTATTTAAATAGAAAAGAGCGAGACAATGCTTTACCTGGAGGATTATCTTGAGAGTAAGTGGCACTTTTAGGTTAGCCACCGTTTGTTTACGTACGGCTTTGTTATTGTTAATTATTGTCAATTACAGTGATCGAGCATCTGCCCGAGGAGTTGAGGCGCAGATTTACAGAAATGAGGGAGTTAGATTTACAAGTTCAAAGTAAGTAGAGTGTATAATAATAGTCGTGTTTAGAAAAAGCTTATTTTTTTTTATAACGGTCTCTCGACAGCTTTCGGGAGGCTACGCTTTCCTTACTACAAATAAACGCCTATAAACCTAATAAATTGTGTCTGTTTATTCTAATTTGTTGATTTTTATTGTCTAAAGGACAATATTTGCTGAACCGAGAAAATTGGCGCGTCGCCGATACACGACTGTTGGTCTATATAAAATTAAAAACAAACCATGCGACCACAGTTTTCAAAAACAAGCTAACCGAAAATATCAAATAAAATACATTAGTAATTTAGCAAATAACAACTTGTTAAATAAGTCCGTAACGTTTTTCAACCGTTCAATTCTATCCGATTTGTGTACACACTTCAAAAGGATTAATTAAGGTGTTTTAATTAATCAATTTCGTTCATCAATATCGTTTGCCAACGAGGTGTTTTGCTAATATAAAACCAATAAAAATGTAATGCATTTTTGACATTATGTCAATGTGAAAACCGCAGCTTATACTGCTAGGAAGAGTTGTGATATATATGGTAATGATCGATGACAATTGAGAAGAAAGCACCAAATGTAAGTGGTTGGCTTCAATGAGAACAGAAATTTTGAGTTGGATGACGCAAAATGATCTGGTCATCTTTCAACCATTGGCAATGACCAAATTCAACATTGTATAACAAATAACCCACACTCAACGGACACAAGCATTACACACTTAACAAGTCCTGTACAAGCTTTTCAACGACCCTGAAAGTAGGTGGATTATTTATCAGAGCTATATATTGGTTCCTCACACATTGATTGAAAATAATGTAATGGACTGCATTTTCCCTGTACACTGCAATATAAACGCAAATTTATAAAGTTTAGTAATTGGGACTAAAAAGTAAGTTTTTTCAGCAATGTTCATCAAGAAAAATCCTGAAAATTCAGCGTTAACTGCTTAAAAAGCTGGATTACATCCCAAAAGGGTAATGGATAAGCAGAGGCGCCACAATATGGTTATTTAGCTAAATTCAGCCTATTTTAACCGGTTTAAACAACACTGTTATTACTTGACTCTTTTATTTAGGGATAATGTTTCGATCTGCCATACAAAGTGCAAATCAAGTCATCCGCTGTACACATTGTAAGGAGAATGAAAGGTGGTGGTTTATTATTTTCTGCCAACCAAACAATTCTAGTGTATATCGCATATAATTGGAGTGATTAAAGTCACCAATTGACCAACAACTACTAATCGCCAATGATAATGCTTGCCCTGTTGGCTTTGCAGGCACATCAGAATTTATTGGAGCTGCCTACCCCATCCATGGTGGATTTGCCTGATGTTGTCTCTTTTGATTTTCACTTATTTGGGAATCTACAAAACTTGATTAGCGAGAAAAAAACTTTACTTCACTTGACTAAAAAACATCTGGCTCATAGCTCAAAACCTGAGAGGTTGGAATTACAAAATTATATGGACGATATCAACAAGTAGTGGACAACATGGTTCATTAAATTTATTTCCTAGAACCTGAAATTTTCCTTTTCAGTCATTTTGGCCTGTCCAATACGTTTCAATTTCACACTATATCAGTGGTGAGACTGAGTATGGAGACCAAAACAGTGAGGTTAGTAGGTTCAAAATGATTGGAAATGACCATACTGCCACCTGCAGACATACAGAGAAACTTTCTAAAAAGTGTTTTGTATGTTAAACAATCGCCATTTGACTTTAATTACCCTCTCATGATGAAATACATGTTCAAAAATCCATTTTTCTATAAATATATTTTAAAAAAAATTTAAATTGCCTAAAGCTTTAATCAAGAGCTCTTGAAAATTTGTTTGCCCCTATTAAGTTTGGAGGTGTGTGGTTTTAAATAGGAATGTAGAAATAGACTGCAGAGATAATAATATAATAAATAAAAATAATCATTAATTATTCTTTTTATGTAAAGTCCTGGTCGACACTAACTTTTTTGTCTTGACTAAGACCTTACATAAAAAGAATAATGTTCTTAAAATATTGAATTGGGTAGAATTAATGTTTTCTGAAGTGGACTGTATCATAAGTTACTAGAATCTGTTTATTTGGACTCAGTGCCACGATACATGTACTCCTGAGACAAACATAAATGATCGTAACTGACTGGTTAGTTGTTCTGGCAAGAAACCTTGTTTGGATTAGTAATGATTTAACAGTAAACAATTATCTAAACACTGACCTAAGTTGTTACCCTTTCCCTTAGATAAAACGAGAAAAATATAACTTTTCCTGTGTAAAAGGCATTCTATTGTCTTTCTTTTCATGTAAACAAATCTTTCAAATTTCAGATGCAATGGACAGCCTTGAAAAGCGTGTCAGATTCTTCTTTTCAAATGCCAAAAAGATGAAACCGGCTGAGAAAGAGGCCGAGTTCGAAGCCATAAGAAAAGACTACTATAAGCCGTTAGAAGATTCAGGTACAAACTGAAAAACCCAGTGACAACCTTATGCTTAATATTATTAATTTATTCTAATTAAATGTAAAGATGAGAAAGTGAAATTGGCCAGCAAGATGTACGACATAGTAGCAAGATACCTTAAAAGACTGGATCAAGAAACTCTCAAATTCAAATTGGAGCTTGAAGCCGATCACATTGGAATAACTGAAATATTAGAAAAAAGTAATTTTTCTTATAGTTAATTTTTAATACTTAAATTTAAAAATTATTAAAATGTTTAAATTGTAATTTAAGGATCACACGAAATGGACACGCCTACTACAAATTCAAGCCAGAAAGAAAATCGATATAATTTCCCAAATCAGAGGAGCCACCACAATGAATTTAATATCAGTAAGAAAGTTTTATACTTTTTTTTTTCTTCTCAGTGTTTCAATTAAGCGATATTTCAGAAAAAAGACGTGATTCAAACACCAGTGACGGACACAACAAAAGGTTGGCCGTCAATTCTTCAGACAGGGTGATCACCGAGTTGAGGGTCAATATGAACAATCCTTCAGTCGGACCTGTAGCACCACCGCCGCAGCCAACTGTGGCTTATACGCTCGGCCACCACATCGGAGCCGGAGGGACCGCAATTGCAGCAGCAGCCTCCCAAGCCATTGTTGCAACCCAACAGGTATTTCTACAGTTGAAATTAAGTACGTATAATTTTATTCTATTTTAATGCTAATATTCCAGATGCAGCAAGGTAGGCGGACAGCAAGTCTAAAAGCCTCGTATGAAGCAATACACTCGGGAAGCAGTGCAAACGCAGGCGGAAGCGCAGTCGGATCGTCAGCACAGGAGATTAGCATAAGCAAAGAGCTTGCTGGTGCAGCACAGACTGCGATCGCCGCCATACAAGACAATCATAAAAAACATAAAAAGTAATTTAAACTATAAATTGAAACATGTCATAATAACTATGTCTGAATTATTTTCTCAGAAAATCTAGTTTAGGCCCTGGTACGGGAACTCCACCAGTAGCGTCACCGGCTTCATTGCCGTCACCACAAGAAGCACCACAGACAGCGCAGAGTAGCGATAAGGCTGATACATACGACCCGAATGAACCTCGATACTGCATCTGTAACGAAGTGGCTTTTGGAATGATGGTCGCTTGTGACAACAAATCGGTAATTTATCTTTCTTTTTTATGTTATATGGGGAGAGGATGCACGTCCCATCCTCACTGAATTTAGATATCCCCATATGGGGCACAAGAAGCTCAGCAGAACCCAGCTATTTGGATTTCTGAGTGGAAAGAATTGTTTATAACTCATGGGCAAGCTTGGTCTTTTCGTTTTGAACTAATTCAAGGAATTAAATTATGATTAGCAGGTTTTTGTTTTTAATTTCATTTTTTTCTTTATGTATTCTTAAAAGTTTGCTACCTTTTAGTTTTCACACTTCATTCTTATATTTTTGTTGTTGTAGTTAGCCTTCTACTCCCAAAAGACTGTATTTACCATGCTGTATAATGTTAATTTACTTTGTTTTGTATACATTTTTTTATTGTTAATATAAACATTATTATTATACAATTAATTAAGGTTTTTAGTTGAGATAAAAAAGTCAGTGTCACGAGCGGGATTCGAACCCACGACCTTCGGCAAGATACGCCGCTGCTCTACCCCTTGAGCTATCGTGCCCTCGATCCACTCGGACACCAACTTCCNTCGGACACCAACCTCCCATCTCAACCCCACCTTTTGAATTTTCCCTCCTTTTTGCCATTTTTCAAATGTCGTGTAATCTATTTGATTCTCGGCAACAAATGAAACAGCCAAAGAGAGCTTTAGTGAAGAATACTTCATTTTAATTCATTAAATTCACTATTTTTCGGGGTCCGCTTGACCAATTAATATCATTCAATTAATTACGGTTTTTAGTTGAGATAAAAAAGTGGGTTCGAATCCCGCTCGTGACACTGACTTTTTATCTCAACTAAAAACCTTAATTAATTGAATGATATTAATTGGTCAAGCGGACCACGAAAAATAGTGAATTTAATGAATTAAAATGAAGTATTTCACTAAAGCTCTCCATGGCCGTTTCATTTGTCGCCGAGAATCAAATAGATTACATGACATTTGAAAAATGGCAAAAATTCAAAAGGTGGGGTTAAGATGGGAAGTTAGTGTCCGAGTGGATCGAAGTCACGATAGCTCAAGTGGTAGAGTAGCGGCGTATCTTACCGAAGGTCGTGGGTTCGAATCCCACTCGTGACACTGACTTTTTTATCTCAACTAAAAACCTTAAGACCACGAAAAATAGTAAATTATTATTATATAAGAATAATGTAAAATTAATTTGTTTATTTACCATTATTAAGACTTGGATCCCAAAGCATTTAATCTAGAGGAAAAATATCTCAAAAAAGAGAAGCAAAAATTATTAAGGTTTTTTTTTTTTGTTTCAGTGCCCCTATGAATGGTACCACTATCCTTGTGTTGGGATAACAGAAAAGCCCAAAGGGAAATGGTATTGCCCACACTGCACTGCGGTTATGAAGAAAAACAGGACGAAAAAAAATTAGAAAGTGATATTGAAAAAAATAAAAATAATTACCTACACACATTATGCTTTATTATTGAAATAAACCTTTAAAAAAAGTCTCAAAAGGGCTATTTACAAACGAGAAATCCGTTGATATTTACAACAATTGGGTAACTCTCTTACTATTGGAAATATCTTAAACGACTTTGTATCTCGCTTTGTTTATGCTGTGATGGGCCGAGGTCTGGAGTTTGAGCAGTTCTTCCTTGATCAGCCGAGTGATCTCTGCCTTGGCTTTTGAAACCGCGAGCTCGTTGGTACTTTCTATGGCGAGGAAGAGTTTGCGCTCGCCGTCTGGTGGTGGTTTCCCAGTCGGATAATAGGTACCGCGAACTGTGATACCAGCTTCAGAATATTCTGATATTTGCGCCAATGCCTCCTGAAAAGGAAATAAATAACGATTGAAAAAATAAAAGAAAATACAGAAAACAAATATAGTACTGCAGTACAATATCCTGGCAGAGTAGAGAAAATGTTTGTTTTTTTTAACTACTCATAAATATTTACACCTGGATAAATGTTATGCGATGTAACAGAGACTGTCGTTTTGTACAATAGTCAGTTAAATCTTGATGTATCGTATCTTAAACTGTATGAAGGAGAGGAGTATAAATCGGCATATTCACTATGTCAATTTACTGGAAACCGGTTTGTTAAAATAACTTTTATAAATTTTTCATAATACTCAATATATGTATATTATTTTTTTTAAATTCATAATTCAACTATAAGACCTTTAATTCGTCGTTTGAAATTCGACCATCAGAGAGGCCAACAGTCACGTTTTTGTTAAAAAAAAAAAAAATAAATAAATAAATAAATAATAATAAACAACAATAAAAAAATTAACAAAAGAGTATCCTATTTTAAAAGACAAGAAATTTCTGTGTCGTGGACGCCAAATCGCCCTTCCACTANAAAAGTGTATCCTATTTTAAAAGGATAGAAATTGTTGTCGTGGATACCAAATCGCCCTTCCACTAGTCACATGACGAGAGAGGCCAACAATCACGTTTTTGTTTAAAAAAATAATAATAAAAAATTTAAAAAAAAAATAACAAAGTGTATCCTATTTTAAAAGACTAGAAATTGCTGTCGTGGACACCAAATCGCCCTTCCACTAGTCACACGATGAGAGTGGTCGACAGTCTCGTTTTGTTAAAAAAAAAAAACTTCCACTAATTACACGATCAAAGAAGCCGATAGTCACGTTTTATAAAAAAAAATAATAATAATAAACAAAAATAAAAAATTAACAAGAGTATCCTATTTTAAAAGTCAATTAATTTCTGTCATGGACGCCAAATCGCCCTTCCACTAGTCACTCGATGAGAGTGGTCGACAGTCTCGTTTTGTATAAAAAAAAAAACTTCCACTAATTACACGATCAAAGAAGCCGATAGTCACGTTTTATAAAAAAAAATAAATAATAATAAACAAAAATAATAAATTAACAAAAGAGTATCCTATTTTAAAAGACAAGAAATTTCTATCGTGGACGCCAAATCGCCCTTCCACTAGTCACATGACGAGAGAGGCCGACAATCACGTTTTAGTTTAAAAAAATAATAATAAAAAAAAAATTTTTTTTAAACAAAAAGTAATTATAATTAACAAAAAATTTAAAAAAAAGAATAAAAAAAAGTGTATCCTATTTTAAAAGACTAGAAATTGCTGTCGTGGACACCAAATCACCCTTCCACTAGTCACACGATGAGAGTGGTCGACAGTCACGTTTTGTTAAAAAAATAATAATAATTAACAAAAATTAAAAAAAGTGTATCCTATTTTAAAAGACTCGAAATTGCTCTGTCTTGGCTGCCAAATCGCCCTTCCACTAATTACACGATCAAAGAAGCCGACAGTCACGTTTTGTAAAAAAAATAATAATAATAATAAACAAAAATAATTTCAAAAGAATACCCTATTTTAAAATACTAGAAATTGCTGTGTCGTGGGTGCCAAATCACCCTACCACTAGTCACACGATCAAAGAAGCCCACAGTCTTCTTTGCACAAAAAAAAAATAAAATAAAAAAATTAAACAAAAAAAATATAAATAAATAACAAAAGAGTACCCCATTTTAAAGACCAGAAATTGCTGTGTCTTGGGCGCCAAATCGCCCTTCCATCCCTAACCATTATCTGAACTTTTGGTCATCCGGACAAGTCCCAATAAACTGTTTTCTACTGTATTATGGTACTACACTGAGTGTAAAAAATTAAAAATACATTGAACCAAGTTGTCATTTTTTTTGATTGTACAAGTATGTTAGTTTTATAAAGATCTATGACTTTCCTTTTTTGAAATACTGATCAATTTTTCCCGGTCGAACTTACCGCTCTATTCATATGTTTATTAATCAGAATTTTATTGCTAAAATAGAAATTATAAGAGGTTTTTTCGACTTTGAAGGTGAAAAAAAATGCATTACACCGAGGGGACTGCAATGCAATGGGTTTATACGATTTAATGAGATTTTTCAAAAGACCAGCACTTTCTTTCAATATATTGGGGTATACGATATATTAGGATATTAAATATTGAAATTTTACTGTATTGGTTTTTTCCGAATAAATTTATACATTACCTTTGACGTGACCCGCCATCTCGCCTGTTGCGGGAAGTCATTGATCTCGAGCTCCTCCTCGTATTTTCTAAACGTCTCAATCTGGTCCTCTTCTCCCTTTTCATCATCTTCTTTTGGCTGGTAGTTTAGCCTCGTGTTTAGTTTGGCTGCCAGCTGTTCCGCTACGGTCTTCGCCTTCAACACATGTAGTTGCAAAATTGATAACATTATGCGTCTGCTTGCACTGCTTTTAAAGATGTTCAATGTGATTTTTATTCTTACTGTAATTATAGGTTGAGTGCCTCCTCCCTTGAGTATTGCTTCAGCAGCTTGTTGCGTGGCGCCCTTCGCTTCGGCACCAAGATTTTTAGCCAAGTGAATCCTGGATGCAAGTTTTCTCGCCAGTTCAAGTTTGTCAGTTGCTAAGAATAAACATATATAAGCAAAGAAACCTATAAAAACTGAATTATATCCAATAATAAAGATTTATTACCAGGCACTCCAGAATTCGGCAGCGAACCGAGCGGAGCACGTATCTCTTTGACTGTACGTTTTGGCGCGAGCATACTTTCAATTTGTTGATCGATATCGTTTTCTAAGTCTTCATCGTCTGAATCCTGGAGACCTAGGGCAGCTTTCTGGAATTTCTTCTTCTCATTGACTATCATTGCTTCTGTTTCATCAAACTTGAAACCTTTACCGCTGAAACCGCCTCCTGTATGCACTTTCTTTCCTTCCTGAAATATTTTCATTTAAGATTTTTTTTTACGTTTTAAAAAAGAATAATTTAAAACTTACGGCGGTTTGCTTGGCTTTGTAAATCTCCCACATAATTTTGAGGTCACTCGGAACGGGTACGCCACTGGCTTCGAGGGCTCGAACGATATCACCTGCATACCTTTCTTGCTCTGGAGTTATGAATGTATATGAAAAACCTTTATTACCAGCCCTAAAATTATTTTTAGACATTACTATCTACATAAAACCGTGAAAATGTGCCAGTCTCACCTCCCAGTTCGACCACATCTATGTACATAGTCTTCATAATGATTAGGGCAGTCATAATTGACAACAAGAATAAGATGCTTCACATCAAGACCTCTAGCTGCAACTGAAGTTGCAACCTAAGAAAAAAAAAGTCATATTTTATGGTTCGATTTTTTGGTTTTGTTTTTTAAATAAATTTTACAAGTAGGGTATTTTAACATAAACAGACTAGTTATTATTATAGTCATTATTTTTAGGGACTCCAGTGCCCAAGTTGTTGACTTGTATTTGTTAAGCTACCAGTTCTAAATTTGTGCCATATAGATGATTGTTTAAGGATGGTGAGAAAGATCAGTTTTTCCATGAGCACAAATATGCAATATATGCCTAACTAATTAATTTTAACTCTGTTTTTTACGTAATGGAAGGAAGTCAGGATGACCCAGGTAAACATCTTTTTATAAAACTTATCAACTGTGTAACAGTTTTTTGAAATTGTAATTTATATTTTTATTTTCCCACAATGCGCAATAATCATCCAAAACTTTTTTAGATTATAGAGGGTCTATATGGAAAGTTCCTACTTACGAGTAATTTTGCAATTTTGCTTTTCCTGCTTAAAAAAAAAAAAAAATTTCGTGCAGCGTGAAATTTTCTTTAAAAAAAATGTGACCTAGCATTTTTCGTGCAAAAACCCTTTTTTTTTTTTATGGGCAGTATATATGCCTAACTAATTAATTTTTACTCTGTTTTTTACGTAATGGAAGGAAGTCAGGATGACCCGGTAAACATCTTTTTATAAAATTTATCAACTGTGTAACAGTTTTTTAAAATTGTAATTTATATTTTTATTTTCCTACAATGTTCAATAATCATCCAAAACTTTTTTAGATTATAGAGAGAGTATATGGAAAGTTCCTACTTACGAGTAATTTTGCTTTTCCTGCTTTAAAATCCACTATTGTGCTATCTCTGTCATATTGATCAACACCGCCGTGGAGGGTGAGGCAAGGATAAGATGCTTTCATTAGGTCCCTCAGAAGTGCGTCGGCTGCTTCCTGCCTATCTACAAACACAATAACACTTCCTCTTTCCTGATAATGTCCCAGGAGTTCCAGCAGTTTTAGCATCTTCTGATCCTCTTCGAGCAAGATCACGTGCTGTTCTACGTCTTTACAAACGACGCTCCTACCGCCGACTTGAACTTCGATGGGACGTGTTAAGATACGGCGAGCAAGAGCTTCCATCTGCCTTGGAAACGTCGCGCTGAACATGACCGTCTGCCTGTCAGGACGGACGTTATCGATTATGCGCATGACCTGTGGTTCGAAACCCATGTCAAACATCCTATCCGCCTCGTCGAGTACGATGTACGTGACACGTTTGAGGTTGGTGACACGGCCGCTGTTAGCAGCAAGCATATCAATCATGCGTCCGGGCGTGCACACAATAATCTCGGCTCCTCTTTTCAGTTCGGCAATTTGTTCCGATATACCCGTCCCTCCATAGACACAGACAGTCCTGAGGCCTAATGATTTCGTGAATTTTCTAGCTTCTTTACCGATCTGCATACAAAGTTCTCTTGTCGGTGTCATGATAATAGCTAAAAATCATAATAAATCAATGCCCCTTTTTTATTTCAGAATTATTTACTAAATATTACCTATTGGGCCGTCTATATCCTCCAACGGAGGCTGATCGAGAATGTGTCGTAACATTGGAAGCACAAAAGCTAGAGTTTTTCCACTCCCAGTTTTCGCTGTTCCAATCAAATCCCTGCCTAAAATTAATTTATCAATAAAGTAAAAAGCAAATACTATAGTTGTAAGACTAAAATTATTCCCAATTTCAAAAATCTACAGTTAAGCTTTTACACTTCTCAATATTTTTGGATAAAATAAAAACCATTATCGTAGATTAAAAAAATTATTATATTACCTGACATAATTGCTGGTATCCCTTGTGCCTGGATTGGTGTCGGTTTCTCATAGCCCTGCTTTTTCAGTACATCCAGGACTTTTTTGCTCACACCGCACTGCGCCCAGGATTTGATCGGGCGTGGACATCCTTTGCCTTTGACTCTAATCCCTTCCAGTTCTTCCCTGTATTGCTCGACCTCCTCGTTTGTCATTTTTGCGATTTCAGGAACCTCGACATAAAAGTCCTTCCTGAATTCGTTATAGTCCATTCCAGCATGATCCACTTTGGCGAGTTCCTTCTTCTGTTTGTTGGCCAGAGATGCGGCCGCAGTTGTTAGATCCTCTTGTTCTTCCTCTGAGGAATACTGGATTAAAAAAGAAAAAACTTTAAATTTAATAAAGAATTTATGATTTTTTTTAAATTAATTATTATTATTATTTTTTTTTTTTTTTTTTTTTTTTTTTTTTCAAGAAAACCTACCATGAACAGTACCAACATTTATAAATCTTTAACCAATAATTAAACATTTATTATTTTAATTTGTAGTTTAATCATTTTGGTCCACCTATTGCTAGGAATTGATCAAAATGCAGGATTATCAACATACAGATCATAAAAAGTTCAAAATGATTTTAATTCTTTCATTTTTACCTAGTTACAAAACTGTTTTATATGAATTTAACTGACCTCAAGACCGTCCTGATTTTGTTCAATGAGCTCTCCTTTCTTCTTCGTGTCAACTTTCTTCTTCGCTACCCCCGTCATGATTAAAACCCCCGAACTGTTCGAACCGGAATTGTTTTTCCCGTCCACCTCGCTCTTGCCGGTCTTGTTGTCGAGCTTGTTCACCTTCCTTACTTCTTCCTGGACACCGATCATGAATGCGTCGAGGGGGTCGATTTCAGCTTCTTCTGTCTCTTTGGTAGTCTCCTTCTCCTTGCTTGTCTCCTCTCCCTCTTCGTCGCTGTCATCCTCGAGATTCCACTTTTTTGCTGGAAGTTGTAGATTTGCTGAAAAAGTATACTTCTGACCCAACTACAGAGCAATCATTCATTACAGAACCACCACAATAAATCCAAGCAGACATTTTGAAACTCATACAATTTCTTATTGTAGATTAATCCTTAATCTTAACTATTACTAAAAAAAATATAAAATAAATTGTACAAGTACCAATTGACGTTTTCAAGTCCTTCTTAACAGATTCGACTTCCTTCTTCTTCCTTTCTGCTCTCCACCTTTCAATTCGTTCTCTTCGCTTTTGCATCTCAAGCTCTAACCTCCTCTGCTCCTCCTCCTGGAAAATAAAGTAAATAATTACAACCAGGAAGCAAATAAGTACTGATACAAATAAGTACTGATTAAATGTAAACCTTGTCGATTTTTGTTGGGTCAAATGGCTCATCGGGATCGACTTTGACTTCCTTCTTGTCCTCTTTCTTGCTCGGACGTTCCCTTGACCGTGATCTTGTTCTCGACCTTCTTCTTTTTGACCTCGACTCCAATGATCTCTTCTTATCACTGTCAGTAAATTTTCATGTCTCAGGGAAGAAGAAATAAAATAAAACTGACAAGTACCAAAGGGCTTGATGGCAAGGGAAGAAAGTGCTTGTTCTTAACAATATATACTTCAAAAATCATTTAAAAAGTGACACTTTTCAGTTCATAATTTAATACTTTATCCTTTCAGGGCCCAACATAAAAAAAGTGTTTTTCTAAACTACCACATTTTTTACTGCTCCTCACAAATCCAATAATTATTAAACAACTGGTCACAAAAAAACACACACTGAGTATTAAAGGGGACAAAAAATATTTCTTTTTTTGCACTTTCTTTTTCTTTACTCAATAAATGTTTTTTAGAATTAGGTAAACATTTGTTTTTTAAATGTCTTATTTTTACAATCAAACCTATTTTTGATATCCAAAATATAAATATACCTGTGTTCATTTTGCCCATCAGTGTATTTACTGTAAGTACAAGCTCAGTTGGCAACATATATTTAGTTTATTTACAAATCGTGAGATGCGGTCTGGTGTGATGTCGGTTTCAGAAAAACATTTTCTTTATCGTGCCAACGTTTCGATCTTTATTGAGATCATCTTCAGGGCCCNTGAAGATGATCTCAATAAAGATCGAAACGTTGGCACGATAAAGAAAATGTTTTTCTGAAACCTACATCACACCAGACCGCATCTCACGATTTGTAAATAAATATCAATTAACGGTCACTAATCACCACACATATATTTAGTATTCATTTACTATAATGTACAATCTGTTCAGAACTAGACCAGCGGCTTATATGGGATCAACATTTAACTAAAACCATCCACAGAGGTAAAATTGACAGGGGAGGTGCAGAAGGCTATGCACCAAAAACTGGAAATTAAACCCCAAAATGACCCTATGGCTATACACCAGCGTTTTAAGACCAAGTTCCATCCCTAAGGGGATCATACATTTTTTACCATCAATGTCAAGTAATTGAAGATCACAGAGGCCGCTATAACGCCGAAACAGCTAATGAAGTTGCAATAGTGATGGTCGATCAAGAATTTGATTAACGGGCTGTTATATTACAAAGCCATACTAGCATTAGAAAGCAACGTTGAAACAGTACCGCATAGACGAAGTCGCATGTAAAAGCTAGTTACATAATAAAAAATTTCTTTTCAAATGACTTATTTTTACAAGCAAACCTATTTTTGTTATGCAAAAGTATGAATAAACTAAAATAAAATATACAGGTGGTGCGTTTATTTTGTCCATCGATCTATCAAACAATACGTTTATCACCCCTCAGACCACGAGAGGAAAACTCACATAATTCCAATTATCGGCAAGTGCATACTCCATGCGGATTGTAGACAGTCACTGCCAACTGTCTACAATCTGCGTGTACAACACTTGTAGATAACATGTAGTCTAATGAGCAAAACAGCATAATATCTGGATCACAGTGAAACCAGTTTATGATTAGAACCAACTTTTCGATTAGTGATGAAGCTAAAAGTGTGAATTTAAATGACTTGAGTATAATCCGTATTTTTTTATTTTTTTTGTAATCAAGGAAAAACGTCGTTTCTACTTGTAATTTATGAACTTAAGTCTGCTTACGATCTGTCTCTGCTTCTGGACCTCCTGGACCTTTCCCTCCCTTGGGACCTGCTCCTGCTCCTCCTCCTCCGGTCCCTGCTGCGCTTCCGCCTTCTCTCCTGCGGGCTCGAGGACCTGCTTCTCGATCTTCCTTTCCTGTAGTCCCTGGAGGGCGAAAATCTCTTTAAAACTAAAGCCCGGAGGATTTTTGGCAATCTCGAAGAGCTTACCTCATTACGGGGATAGACGATTGTACAGTCTTTATCCTATCGGACTGTAGTCCGTTTCATCATTTGTTCTCGACCTGGGCGAGGCCGGCTAGTCTTGGGCTGATCGCGTCCTCTCTTCCGCTCGTCATTGTTAGTTTTAAAAAACGAATTACGAATCAAAAAGGCCAGAAAACACAATCACTGACAATAAGGAGAAACGTTCCTCACGCTTTGGTCTTTACGAACACAACAGGCTGGCCAACTGTCGTATCTCGGATAAATACAACAAACCTTAAAACCGTTTAATGTAATTTTTAAATTCTAATTGTGTATAATGGTTTGTTATAAAAACAATTTTCTTTTCTTTTTTAACTCCAAAAGAAGCTTTCTTTGCAATTTTTTATAAATTGTAATCAAGGGTAATTATCGGCTGTTATATAACCTCCAAATTTGAAAAAGAGTAAAACTAACAAGGTAGACGGCTGTTTCTTGCATGTTCCAGTTCGACAAAAATATTCCGGCTTATTTCTTGTCCTTCTTACTAAACAAATATTCATCATTTAAATTTATATTATTTCTTGATATAGAAAATAATAAAACTCAAAAATCGCAAAGATTGGCTTTTTGAAAGAGTCCTCACGTCAAATTCATTCATTTTAACCTTTCGTTGGTAGCATGAACCTTATGACATCTAAGGTAATAATAAACAATATTATTTTTAGTACAATGATTTATTTAAACATTTATATTTTATGTTAATGGTCTAATGAACAAATTATTTCTTTCAATTAATTATTATTTTTATGTGAGGTCTTGGTTGAGATGAAAAAGTTAGTCTCACGAGCAGGATTCGAACCAACCACCTGCTTTAATATCTGTTTGGCTATTACTCTTATGAGGTTTTTTGCTAGTGTAACCTCTTTTAAGATTTCTAGGGCACAAGATTGATGGCATGTATTTCTGCTTGAAATACCAAAGTATACTTACTTCCCTAATGAGTGTACTTACTGTAAGCTTGTACTGATAACACCCGATCCAGTTCCTTCATTTGTTTTGGAGCCATCTGTATACCATATCATTGTATTAATGCTCTCTTGTCTAGTCTGTTGAGACTTTATAGCATCATTATTGATAGTCAGATAAACTTTCACACACAAATTAATAAAACTATTGCTAAAGCAAATAAAACTGGGATTTATTACATGTCATCCTAAACTTTTCCATGATCCATATGCGCTTAAAATTTTATTCATTACCACTGTAAAACGAACATTAGATTACTGTTCACCTCTTTGAGCTCCCTTTCAATCCATCCATATCGGTTGCATAGAAGCAGTTCAAGAAGATTTTTTGTCTGATACATTACAAAACATCTAGAGTATACAGAGATAGGGGGTCGCGGTAGCCAAGTGGTTAAGGCGTCAGACTCTCGGCTAGTAGATCCCGCGGTCGTTGGTTCGATCCCCACCGTCGCCTCTGGACTTTTTCTGACGCGTAAGGGGACCGGTGGCTACAATTGAAAGAAATTGACACGGCACTCATCAATGGAAGGGATGGGACCCTGAGTTTGGTCCCAACCCCCTTCAAAAATGAGTTTCTTCAATGGAAGAACACCGGTACAATAAATCAAGTTCACATTTGTGTTGTGAGCCCTCCCCCAAAATATGGAGCCAGGAATAAAGTACAATACGCTGTACAGCTCAGCTGCAGTGCTCAGAAGGGAACTCCTCCCGTCCCTGGTAAAAAAAAGATACCATACTCATTGGTAATGTTGGATTTGAAATTGACGACTGTTCTGAACAGAAGGAAATTCTTTGATTTTATATTGTTATATAAATTATTACATTCCCTGATTGCTCATTACTGCTTAAGCAAAGTAACTTTCGTTCCATCTTATCATTCCAGAAGTCATATAACATTCTTCATTGATTGCCATAGAACTAACTATGCCAAATTCAGTTTTATACCAAGAACAACAAATATGTTTTCTCATCTTGTTCAGAAATGTAGATATATTATAAAAATTATAACTGAGAGGCAAATACTTCTGATTTCTTCCTTGTGTCCAGTGTTTAGTTCCATACAATTTGATTGTTCCTGGAGCCTAAATGATATTGTCTTCCCTTTTTGTATAAATATTTTTAATGGATGTAGGTTTTCAGTGTTTCTAGTGCAACTTACATCGAGGTGTACAAACTTGCGAACATAATTGAATGGTTCAACTTTTCAATGCCAGTTAAATTTTAGATTCACTTAATTTACTTATGACTCGCTTTGGTAATGTAAAAATTGTACGCTTATCATACAGAATAACTTATTGTTAATCAAATTAATTTTTACTTCTTTTCAACTATATATTCTTGCCAATTTTACCCTTTGGGAAGAAAAAAATAATATTAATAAAAATTTAAAAAATAAATTATTTAATTTTTACAAAAGGTTAATGTTTCGTTACAACTTTATAACTTTTGAGCAAATTCATGATTGTTCCATTGGCTGAAATTGGGTTCAAAAGTAATAAATCAGAGAGAATTATAACACAATTTATTAAATGAGATTTTTCATTTGTTTAAATTTGTAAATTGTACATATTTATATTATTTACAAAAATGGAAATCTGTTCTTATATTTACTCTTTTTGAATTTCAAATATACATTTGTGTATAAACTATACGTTTTCTTTTTAATGAAAACAAAAATAGAATGGTAAAATACAATATATATTTATATTGTATATCTTCATAAATGTATGTATAATATATTAAAAATATAAAAAATTACTTCTTTTTAAATGAAATTAATATGGCTAAAAACAGCTAATGTCTTGCTATAAATGAATCACAGTTCATATTTTTTTCTTATTAAAAACAAAAATTTCTCTTATATTCAGCTTTATACAAATAACAATTTTATGTACAAATTTATGGCATCCTTAAAGCTCTCACACATAAGATTCCTCGTCCCGATACGCTCTGGTAACAATATAAGGAGATACCACTGGAAGATAATATGAGGTGATTGGAGCCCTTTTGTTATTTGTGTTGTTATTGTTGTTTATTTGTTGTGGCGGTGGGAGTGATCTTGAACGGTGTGCAGGCTGATCTGACGAGGTACGTAGGCGGCCACGGAGGTACGAGGTTTCAACATGTACTGGTGGGAGGTGTCGAAGCCTTGGGGTGACCTCATTTCCACGCGAATTACTTCTAGATACTTGTGGAGTACAGTCGTCATCAGATAGAGTTGAAGAGTCCTCTTGTTCTTCAAGCCTCGGGTGAGTTGGTGGTTGTGGCAGGGAGGGACGCTGCACTGCTGTAGACTGTTTGAGTCTTGTTAAGTCTGCACTGCTAACTGAGAGTGGTTTTTTTGCCGAATAAACTGCCTCTCGATATTGCCGCCTACGTGGCTCGCTAATAACTTCGCAATGCACTGCTGTCACTTTTCTCAAAGGTGGGTGTCTATTGAACATTTCGTCAAAAGGTTTCAAATCCGGCTTGTTTTGCCTTGGCGGAGTTGGCGGTGCTGGGTTATCAAGCAATGATTCTTCCGAGGCACTCCTCCTTACATCAGTCTTTGTCTGTGGAATTGAATTTAACCTTCTTGATCGCTGACGAAACCAAGCCTGTCTCTGAAAATTTGGGTTTATCCTCTCTTCCCATCCTCCATAAACTCTCACGTACTCTCCAGGCACTGACATTGTTGGTGTTACCTAGGGCAATAACAATTCTATTAGAAATTTATTCAACCAACCAATTTAATATAAAATTATAAAAAAGAACTTACTTTTGCATGAGGATCAAAGGCTGGATCGTATCCCGAGGAGGAAGTTGAGCCACTTTCTTCCTCATCTGGAGTATACAGCTGGGAATCTGACATCGTCAGACCTGAATCACGACTCAGAGAAATCTTGTCTTTCCTTGGTGGAGGACTACACTCTAAACTGTCTATAGAAGAGTCATCCCTTCTAAGAGCTAAAATGAAACAAAACAACTCGTTTAAAAACAAAAAGCAATTGAAAGTGCAAATTAAATCAACAAATAAAAAATGCTTACAGTCAGATTCCTCAGTGCCAGAATCCCTAGGGTCACCGAGAAGATGAGTGACCCTCGGGCCACAAAGAAATTCACAGTGGGTCACAAGGGTTTCAACAAGCATGGGAACTGCTCTCAAATCACCAGGGGTAACAGAATCACTCCAGAGCAGTGATGGCCCTACACACACACCGAGATTTGTGGGTGACATGAGATTTGTGCACGACCTCCTTCCAACATGGTGAAGTACACAAAGTACGTGGTAGAGGAGCAAACGGTTAAGTTTTGGCATATCTTCAATCACTCTGTAACAATAAAAAAATCATTAAAATACAATCTGGGTTAGCTTTTAATGCAATGATAAATAAAAACGAACAACTAAAAAATAAAAATAATAGCACACTCACCCTTTCAATCTTAACAACCGCTGATGAATATTAGGTGCCTCGAGAGCTTCACGCCACCTCGGGTATAGGCTAGCTGAGAGTAGAGGATCAGGAAGAGATCTCAGGAATTCTTTTAATAGGGATGCAACGACAGGTACCGGGACATGGTCCAGGACCACTTCTTCACCACGATCCATTTTCTCTCTTAGTTCACGCACCAGACGCACATTGGCAGATTTACGGAATATACCTTGTGTGAATGGTCCTTTATTGAAAACTTGTTGCAGCATGTTCTAGATTTAAAAAAATGGATATAGACATTAATTACAGAAAAAATATTTTTATCATGACTTGTTATGTCGAAAAACTTACCATGACAGGTCTTGGTAACTGATCTCCAGGGCAGATACGCTGCAAGGGTAGTCCAAACAAACACCCTCCGGCGTTCTCCTTGGAAAGGCTTTTTCTGAAAACCTGTCCGATTCTTATCCTTCCTGTTGATTTTTTTGCAAGCTTTTTCTCGCTGTCAGGTGTCTTACACACACTCCTGCGCAAATACAATAAGGGTTATTTTTATTCCAATATTGTCAGTTTTATGTACCTCATACCTTAATATAAACTGGCATCTGGCAAGAGGGTCATGAACATTGTTGCAATGGTCCAAGTCGAAGCCTTCCTCAGCACTAAGGCTGTCTCGTAGGCAGGAGAGCTTAATGGCGAAAGGCCTCTCATGACCCAACAAAGGATACGGCGCTTCGTCCCTGGCCGTCTTCGCCCATAGCTGGTATCCATCGGGATCCCGAAGGAGATCCAGATGGTCGAGAGCCATCGATATGCAACTCCTAGCTGTCTCATCTGGACCAACACTGAATGTTTTGCACTAAAAACAATCACATTATTTACATAGGAGAAATATTTAAAAAAAAATCTTTTTTCATTAAAAATGGTTTAATAACACTTACATATTCAATGGAAGTTGCCTGGTCATAATAAATTACTTGGATGTTGGTTGTACAAGGCTCCTTCGCCTTCTCAACACTCACAACATCAGCTAATTTTGACCACCACAAGTCTCTAGCAGCTTGAGTGCTAAAAACAAAAATAAGAAACATTAATTTTTATTAACCAATTACATTTAAGTATAATTTTAGCATATTGTTTTTACACAAAAGTTCAAAGTAAAAATGTCTCATGAAGTCATTTCCTAATGCTTATTTATTTTTAAGGTTTCTATAGCTTTTAGTTAAACTAGTCAACTGCTCAGAAGATCCTGAATCTGTATAATGAGGCAACAGCTTTTATTCTGCTAGGTACTTTATTATTAACAGACAAAAACATTGTTGATTTTTATTTGTAGTCTAACAATTAATTTTTGGTCATCCTGGTTGAACTATGGCTCTCATTTTTGTAAAGGACGCCAATCGTATTATTTCTGTTTTATTGTTAGGCATAGTTATTTGGAATTTGGTTAAATTGACTTTTTATGAATGACTAATGATTGATCCCGAAGAAAAGGTAAGTAAATAGCAAATACCACACCAAAAGCAGATAACTTGATCAAAACATTATTGGAAATTGGCTTAATTTTGAAAGTCAAACTTAATTTCCGATAAGCATCCATTGAGCATTGTTCTGCCCTTGACCTTCCCCAAGTACCATCCTGGCCGTTTAGGGTGGAGTCAAGGGGTTGGCGACACCCCCGCCGTCGAACCTGGGGTCTCAATGTCCCACTGCTAATGGCACTAATGGAACAAGAGACGGCCCATGTCTCCGTCTCGACGATGCTTTCTCGATCCGAACGTTTCGCCGGACCCAATAAATGTGGATTATTGCTTTTAACGTAATAAAGTTTATTACAGCGGTTGGGTTTTTCGTCAAAGGCAAATGATGAGCCCGACATCTTGGAACATTGCAAAGCAGTAGACGTAGATTAGTGTTAATAACTGCGTTTGAAAACTCGCACCTTTAACAATTGACAAAATACAACTATAACGAAAATTAGCGGTTGGGGAAAGTTATTTCATCTATCATCACTATATGACAAAAATTGCAATTTTTTTGGTTATACTGCTTTCTAGCATATTTATGAAGTATGTAAAAAAAAGCTGTTCAATTTTACAGATTATCTTTTATTGTTAAGCTTATTTTTTGAAATAGTCCAACCAATAGTTACTTTGAAACTGTCCAAGTACAAGAAATTAACAGCATAGAGAGATGAGAGCAAATTCAATTCGAATACAGAACTTGTAAAGGGTAAAGTGGGTTTTTGATAAAATCATTTGTTTTTGTCAGACATCATTAAAAAATATAATTCATTAAAGGAAGCTCAACTGGCAAATATGGACCTCATCAATATACTCGATGTGAACAAACTTTAATATCTATCATCTTTTAGGTTGAGCTCTAAGAAAGATTTTCCACGGAAGGAATCACTCGGACGATTTACGATGCTTGAGCGACGTCACCGTTTCAGATCGGAACAATATTATCAACGTTGGCAATTTTCCCGAGTGACGTGCCGCCGGTCACGTTGACTTTTTCGAACCGATGGAAAGAGTCTCTAAGGCCGGTAGTAGCATCGAGATGGATCTCAGGCAGGTAAAACATCAAGGCTTTTCGAAAAGGCACATCTGAAAATTATTATAATCCCTTCTGGGAAAAATTTTAACCCCGGCCGGTAAAGCATCTGGGAAAGCTTGGGAGTCAAAAGGTTAGCTTCGCTGGCTTTGGATTTGGCCGGTTCTACGCGGCTGAAAATGTTTATAAATAGAATAAATAGAAAAAGGGATGGCCGGGGGGTTTCAAAGTGAAAGACAAAGTTGGCGGTTTAAAAAGAAATTAACATGGACCTAAGCCCTTTTTATAATACTAAGTTCAATATTCTGGAAATTCCTACAAGAAGCTAAGTTTCTCTATAAAATATTTCTCGAATTAAGAATCATACTTTCATAAATATTTCAGTTGAACCTATCGTAACTAAAACAATTACTACTAGAGATCAAATTGGAAAAACTGATTGCTCTCCTGATCGGTTCAATAATCTTTAATTTGCATATAAGAATTCAAAACAAATTTAGACAAGACGGTAGACATTAAAAATAAAGAAATATTACAGCGGATACTTTTAAAAATAAGTTTACAATTTTACCTATTTACCTACGCAAGATAACCCAAATAGGCTTTGAGATTCAGCAGATTTTCTTTTTTTCTGGATATGTAAAAAGTATCAAATAAAAAACCTACCAGGACCACAAAAATAAATCTAACAAAAAATATTTGTTTACTTTCTTATTTTTACTTTCAATTTTTGTACCTGGTCGTTTATACATACATATTACATTATATACAAAACAGACCTAGCATTGAAGAGAAGCTGAAACGCGTCTGACAAACCAAACCGTCCAAATAATATCTAATATAAAAAAAAGAAGAAACGAAAAGATTATTAGAAAAGAAATGAATATACGTACATAGTAAACAAAAGTAATGCATAAAAATTTATTAATAAACCCGAGAAATGGAATTTTTTTCCTTTAATGTTTAAATTTAGACTTTTATTAATATTATGATTCTACATATACCAAAAAAAAAAAAAAAAAATCAGCACTGAAGATGACTGAATAGGCAGACCAAAATAATCGAAACGTCCGAACAATACATAATAAATATATTAAACTGCTTTATTCATAAAAGGAAATTGCTAGAGAGGAAATGATTATTTTTACGTAAAAGTAAATAATAAATAAAAATATATGGATGAGTCCGAGAAATTAAGTAGTCCTTTTTCATAAGATTCCATTAATGCTTGAATTTATTAGTTTATTAATATTTTAATATTACTTATTCAAAACTGAAGATGGCAAGAAGCCGGACGTGTCTGACAGACTAAAACAGTGAAAATAGGCAGACTGACATAATCGAAACGTCCAAACAATACATAATAAATATATAAAACAGCTTTATTCATAAAAGGAGATTGCTAGAGAAGAAATGAATATTTTTATGTAAAAAGTAAACAATAAATTAGAATATATGGATGAATCCGAGAAATTAAGTAGCGCTTTTTTTAAAGATTGCATTTGTTTGAGTTTAGTAGTTTATTGATACTATATTACTTATTTCAAACAACTTCAAAACTGAAGATGACGAGAAGCCGGAACACGTCTGACAGACAGACCAAAATAATCAGAAACGTCCAAACAATATATAAAAAATATAAACAGTGAATACATACGAGTAGATTGCCAGAGAAGAAATAAAAGTAAAACGATTTCTGTTATATAGGAGATCGCAGAATGAGTAAAAACCACTTTACAACACTTCTTAATTAAAAAAAAGCAGTGCTGGAACGGGATTCAAATCCGGGACAGCTAGCATGATATACACGAGTCGGACGCCCTAACTAACCACTCGGCTCAACGGTCCTCAAGGGAAGAGATAAATACATATAAAAGTAAATAATAAATAAAAACATAAAAAACATATAAATGAACACGAGAAAATGAAGTATTTTATGTTTACTACGAGTACGTTTTCTGAAATTTGCAGGTCTCTAGGTTTGGAGTAGTTTAGAATCGCAATAGTAAGTTTTTCAACATCGAAAAAAATTATTTATCAAAGTTGTGGTTACTAAAACGCTTATTTCACCAACGTTTGCAAGTTTAGTATTGATCACTTAGTGGAAATTTGACGTAATTTTCAACGGTGTCAACGGATTTGTCCAAAACTTTTCAGTTTTGGAGTTATCATTTGAAGTAAGGTCGTGAAATCTTTAAGGGGAATAACTCCGAAACTGTTGAAGATTCGAACCATAGTTAATTAGGGCTTTTTGGTTCCAATTTGAAAGTAGAATCTATTGGCAAAGTTTGTAACACGAGAGCCGAACACCCTGTATAAATACACAGATGACTTTATTCCTACGCTATAAAAGCCAAAACATTAAAACAAAAGGGAGAAATAAAACAAATCCCACATACGCTTCTTGTGTTCATTCACATTAGAACTTAAACTTATTTCCGGCTGTTTTCTATCGACGAATATGTAAATTTTCTATTTAAATGATCGGGATAGCTAAGGAAGATTCTAACGCAGCTAAAGAGACAGAAAAAGGGCTGAGATGTTGTTAAAATAAATTGATATCCTTGACTTACATAGAATGTATGAACTTGCGACTCCTGGAATGTTTAGGCGCGTGGGACCAGAAGCAGCCGATTTCCGGCTCGGTTGCACAAGACATCTTCCTCACAGTAGGAACACGACTGGAACTGGCACGGTTTGCAATTCGGGGGTGCCGTCCGGACCGAGTAGGGGGTGTTGGCAAGGGGCCCACCCTCTTCCAGCAACTCCCCACTTACAGGTAGGCGAGGGCGTAAACCCACCAGTTGCACCGGTTAACAGGGGGGAGGGCTTTGTTTCCTTTACCTTTGCATTTCCGAGTACTGAACTTAACTGCTTGTATTTTACGATGGGAAATTAATAAAAACGCACGTTCTGTATGTAGACACTGCTCTCAATTGTACGAGCTGAACTTGTAAAGTAAAGGAGTTGTTTTCCTTTCATTTATCAGCACCCCACGTCATTAAATATTTACAAATATATACAACAATCCTTTTTGTTTCATTTCGAATGCCCAATATGCCTTACGTAAATGATACAAGCTAAGAGAAATTTAGGTCAAATTATAATAAGCTGGATGATATCATTTATAAATTGTAAGATTGCCCCTTTTTCTCCTTCATATAAGCTAAAATTACTAGCTTGATTAGTGTAAATTTTGATGGAGAAAATCCAATACATACAACGAAGACAATGTTTTTCCAAGTGTTAACTTGCTCGAACCAATTTAACTTTTCATGAAGATCCTGCTTTGTGAAATTTGTGACATTATTCTTCGTTAAAAATTGATTTTTCTTTTAAATATAGATTACTAAAAACGTTTTGCGAAGTGAATAAGTGAAGTGTAAAATTTCTTTGCTAAAATAAATGATGAAATCAAAATTTGCGTAATACCACATCTAGAATTTAAAACACCCTAATTCTTAATAATAGATGAAATGTTCTAATAGTAAAAGATGCAAGTAAGAATAAAT